TTAAATTTTGTTTCCTGACTTACTAGAGTTAATTTTACTTAATTCAGTGAATTAAAACAAAGGGACAAATAAATAAAATAAAAACAAATACACTTTCATGGCTGTGTAGAACTGCTAAGTTTGTATCCCAGAGTGATTATAAGGATTAACTAATAAAAGTCCCTGTACAATATTCATTTGATATTCAAAATTGAAAAGTGCTAAAAATTTAGTTGTTGCAAAATAACTGTAAATAAAAATAACTAAAATAAATCTGATTGGAAATCAGATCAAGACATTTAAGGTTGGGGAACATTCAAGATCAATTGGCATAATACAGTACAAAAAGACAATGTTTATTTACTTTCTATTTTGGTAAGGAGTGACTAAAAAGCTTGTTTCTAGCTACCATTCTAAACTGGATCACAGCAGAAGGTGTTGAATGAGTAGGAGGAAGAATGGATCAAAACTTAGAAACATAAGATTGCTGGGCTTACTGGCTCAATAAAGTAGTGAAATCTCAATATCATGGCTCTTAGGCACCTTTAGAATCTGGAGCAAAAATCACCTCTATGGCTTACCTTTCAGTCAAACAATAGACAGGTCTATAAGGTGAACACCACCACTAGAGACAGATTAACTTTTTAAAATAACCAACCATATAAGGTCAAAGATAAAGCTAAGGATAAAGCCAGAAGGAAAGAAAAGGAAAATAGAAGGGTTAATGGCAATAATACACACACGGAAGCAGTGGAAACCATGGTTACATTGTGGGTATGACAATTAATATTATGAAACAAATGTGTATTTACATTTGGAATGGAAAACCAATTTGCTTTGTAAACTTCCACTCAATGACAATAGGAAAAAAAATCTGTAAGGCCAGTTTTATATTGTACTATTTCAGAGGAAATTTTTATAGCTATTTCCTAACTGTGCATTCTTTGTTTCTCATTTTTTGGCAATATAAAAAGAAGAATAGAATACTTCAATGTACTATGAAATGCTTTACTAGATTTAGAGCGAGGATATTTAATTCCAAGGGAATGTTGTAAAAAAATACTGAGAATACTTGAAACCAAACATAAAAATTTATTTCTTGCAAACACAATTCACTTTGGAACTGTTTAAACATAATTTTGACAAACGACATTTGAAAAATTAAGAAAATCAAAATGTTGGCCTCAGCAAAATTAAAGCTACTGTGCAAACTCTAAATTCTTTAATTACTTGTTAAATTTATATAGATATATCAATATTATAAGATTAGATAAATTATGATTATATATGTAAATACTATGGATAACCTAGAAAATTTAAATTTTTTGTTGAATGGTGATACAGATTTTCAATTTCTTTTTCATTAATTTATGTGTCATTTTAATTATCTTCTTTGTCCTAGGTCCTTAGGGTGGTCTTATTTAGTTACTGGTTAGTGAGCTGTAGCATTAATATATTCACACTTCCCCCTCCAAAGTGAAATTTTGAAAAAAAGGTTTTTTTGGTGCAAGTGATAATTTTAATGTATGACTTATCTCTCATTTTAGTTTTGGACATACTCTATGTATTAGTACCTTTTCTTTTATAACTTCCTAAATAATCTAGAAATAAAATTACATTATATGAGTAACTTGTTGAACACTTGGGTTAAAGTTTAGTATTAAAATTTCATAACTAACTTCAACTTTTGTTGACCTATGGCCAAGAACTGATACTTGTACTTTTGATACACACTGACAATTTCTTCATCACTTAGGTCATACTCTATTAACTTTTTATGAATACTTGAAGATAAATATTATTTATTTGTAAGGAAAAAGGTCAAGTACCAATTATACTAATTGCAGGTCTAAGTCAAGGAAGAAAGCTCATAAGTGGTAATACTAAAAATGTTTTGTTATTCATTCAATTAAAATGTTTGTACTTAAAACTGTCACTGTAACTATGAAATTGTAGGGTATTCAAATACACTTGAAATATAAAAATATCTTTTAAAACTTTTTGAAAACAAAGAAATGCCCAGACTCAGTCTTTAAACAACAATTACCTCTCAAAATATTAGTTAGGAACAGTTTAATTTACTTGATTACTTTTTTCCTACCACTAATACCAACAGGTTGGAGTTGTGCTGCCAGCTCATAGCCCAGCAGTGCGAATCTACCAGCTCCTCTCCAGGAGTGAAAGTTGGTTCCCACTTGACAGCACATAACAACCACCTCATCCTTAATTTTATAACATACATGTAAGAGTTAAATGATTTTCTTCGGCATTTCCTTAGTTGTCACAGTACGGTGGGAAAAAAATGTGTGTACCTTTTTGTTATAAAATGTATCTCTAAGTATTTGACAATTTTTAAATAATGAATCAACTAGATCTCTAATTCCTAATGGATTAAAACTGTATGATATAGGCTATGGTTTTTGCAATCACTTGTTATGCATCAGAGAGTTGGACAATGACTAGGGAGGATAGAAAGAGAATTGATGTCTTTGAGCTGTGGTGCTGGAGAAGAGTACTGAATGTACCATGGACTGCTAGGTAAACAAACAGATTCATTCTGGAGAGGGTCAAACCGGGCTGCTCCTTGGAGGCAAGGATTCTGGGGCTTCATCTGACATACTTTGGACATGTTGTAAGGAGGGACAGGTCCTTGGAGAGGGACATCATGCTTCGGAGGATGGAGGGACAGCACAGGAGGGGAAGGCCCTCTATGAGGTGGATTGATTCAGTGACTGGGGTACTCGGGATGGGTGTGTCGGAGACAGTGTGATTGGCACAGGACAGAGCAGGGTTTAGGGCTGTTGTACATAGGGTCGCAATGAGTTGCAAGCTACTCGACGGCACATAACATAACAACAACATAAGGGAGCTCTGGTGGCCTAGTGGCATGAAGCTGTACTGCAATCCAGAGGTATGAGGTTTTTATCCACCAGATCTCTGCTGGAGAAGGGGGAAAGTCTCCCCCTGTACTAGTGAGATCCAATTTGACGGTACACACACACATTAAAACAAAACCCCTGTATTTATAGCATAGTTTATAGGATTATTAATTTTGAGACAATGCGTGGTGTCAAGTTTACTGTTCAAGAAGGCTTTCCTGGCTCTTGAGAGCCTGAGATTCACCCTATTAACAAGCATGGCCCAAATTTCCCCAGGAGGCGTGGCCTATGCCCTGGCCCTCTGATAAAAGACTGCATCCCGGACTCTGTGGTACTCTCTCTGCTCCCCCTCCGCACAATCGTGTAAAAGTCTCTTAACCAGAATCAGCTGCCCTGCCCGCTCCATGTCTCTGACCTTGTTAGTCAAGCCTTGACCCTCAGCAGCTGTGGGAGTTTTGGGGCGGACCCCCCACCAAATTGCCAAGCCCAAGGATGGGAGGTTTGGGCTTGAGGGAGGAGGAGGAATTGTTAATGTTGAAAACAATGGAGTGACAAGACAGATGGAATGTTGGGGACAATTTTGACCTGGGCTTTTTGTGGTTAGTCTGGTACTAATTACTGGTATGATGAGAATTCAAAATGAAACACAAGGTGACTTGCAGCTTGAGAAATAAAGCAGATGACTTGCAAAAACCACAATGGGCCAAAGAGACCTGCAATCACAATATGTGTATGTATTTATTAGGAACGTTCATTTTTCTGCTTATTTAAAAACTCTCTCACACACACACAACCTGCACATAAATAAACAACCTACAGAAAATAGAATTGAAAGGCATGCATGTCTCTCTCTCTCTCTCTCTCTCACACACACACACACACACACACACACACACACACACACACACACACACACACACACTCTTCTCTCATATTTTGGGTTTGAACAGTTTTGATTTTCATCATGTTTGAGCTTTTCTCTTTGCAATGGTAATGCAGCATTTATGATCCACCACCTACCATGGACAGTGAGTTTGGTGCTGGCGCTGCTGGATCCTGCCACATTAGCGGCTATACACGTGTACTGCCCGGCGTCATCAGGTTGGGCGAATGCTATCTGCAGCGCCCCAGAGCTGAGGATGCGTTTCCGGACTGACTCTTTAACTCCATTCCCATCTTTATGCCATACAATGTTGGGTCGAGGGAGACCATCTGCCTCACATGGAAGTGTTATGGGCTTATCCACAGCAGTGATATATTCTTTTGAATGGGGCCTAATGACTGGAGGAACTAAAAGACAAAGTTAAAACCTCAACTTAAAACGTGAGTGTACCACTTACCGTAATGCTCCAACAAAGTGAAGGAAGATTGTTAAGAAAATCCTGATGCTATCATACCTTGAAAACAAGAATCACCGTCATTTGCTGTTATTGTAACATAAGATATAATGAGCCCGTTCCAGAAAAAGACAGTGCGATTGGCACGGGACAGAGCGGAGTTTAGGGCTGTTGTACATAGGGTCGCTATGAGTCGCAAGCGACTCGACGGCACATAACAACAACAATTGCTAACAAATAAATGTAAAGTAATAACCAGTCTTAAATAAGGAAATAAAATATTTAAGAGAGCTTAAATTCCCAGGAAAATTAAAAGCTACTAAAAGATATTTTCACTCAAACATTCAAATAATTGTTTTCTAAATATGGTCACTGTACACGCGTATACTTCCCATGTGCAAAGATCAGATTAGACAAAGTAATATTTGAGCGAATGAATGAATGAATAGATTTACCATAGAAAATACTTAAAAAAGATACAATTATTCTTGCTTCTTAAGAAAGCTGTAGAAAAGCTAAAGACAAGAAATTTTCTTCCTAATTACAACTGATTAATGAATACATGGGCATTAGTTTGGATGTCCTAATATGTATTAATCACCATATTATCTAGACAGATGAAATAATCACAAATAGCCATGTTAACATTATTTATACAACCATAATATAAGTTTAAGTTAAACTAGACTTAATCATACTTAATAGTATAGTTTAAGTTTTCAAAGAAGAGGTGCTACTCAGTAAAGTTCATACCTCTGGGTGGTATTTTGTAATGTTGAAATGTTATTTGTTGCTAAGTTTGTCGTTTGTTTTAATTTTTTGTCCCATACTTGCTCTGTTACCAAAAATTTTAATCTATTATTAAAGAAAAAAAACAACCCTCAAATGTAAAACTGTTCTTTTCTGTGACCTCTGTAATGCTGAAATCAATGAACATTTCTTTAGTCATTACCCTACCTAACCTGTCAATCATGGTCAACAAAACTCTCTCCTATCTTTTTGAAACATTTTCCTCCCTGGGGCTCCAAGATGTCATATTAGATTTTCTAATTTTCTTCTGAGTTCTCTGCCATCTCTTTTGTATTCTTTTCCTCCCTCCTGTCTTTTATCAGACCTCTCAAGAAAGGAATATCCTGGGACTTTGTCCTCAGCTATCTTTTCTGACACACTATTTTTCCCCCTAGGTGACCTCATCCACTCTTGTCAATTTAAATACACTATTACATAAAAAAATTTATAGCTCAGATTGTATTTCTCCTATAAATTCCAAATTCATAATATCTAACTATTTAGTTTGACAGTTCCACTAGGATTTCCAATACGTTCCCACATTTAACATGTGTGAATAGAAATCACTGTTCTCTTGTTCCAAAACCAGCTCTTCCCTCTGCATTCTCCTGGGACACTATCATCTACTCACTGGCTTTAGCCCAAAGCCTAGCAACAGCATTCATTCTTCTTTTCCTAACCACTCAAACCAACTCATAATGATGGAAATTACACCTCCAGAAATATTCTGGATCTATTAATTTTTCTACATACAGCCACTTTCCCCTCTAAACTAGACCATCATGTCCATCTTGACTAAACTGACTGAACAGTTGTGTCCAGCTTGAGTTCTGCCCTTCCTGTACACCCTTAGCTATACGGAAATGAGAGAAGTCTTCTGAAAATGAAATCATGTTGTTGTTAGCTGCCATAAAGTTGACTATGACTCATAAAGGCCCTGTGAACCATAGATCAGGGTCTTGCCCTATCCTGCACCAACTTCATGATCTCTGACATATTGTAGCTTATTGTTACAATCACTCTGTCAATTCAATTCATTGAGGGTCTTCCTATCTTTCTCTGACTTTTCCCAGCATGATATTTTTTTCCAAGGACTTAACCCTCCTTCTTAAATCCTTGAGTGGTTTTCCACTGCACATAAAATGAATTCTGAACCGTTTATGGTCCTATGTTCTCCATGTACTGAACCTACCTACTTTTCTGATCTCCTGCACGGTATGCCACCTTCCTGTTCAGTTCTGTCTAGTCTCACTGGGCTGGTTTCTTTGTTCAATTCTTTTCTGCCTCAAGATCATTGCACACAGACACCCTGCAACCTTCCCAAGACGTATTTTAGTGCATCATGTGGGCCTCGGTTTACATTTCACCCCCTCAGAGAAGCCTACCAAAGCACTAAGCTAAACAAGTCCCTACAAACCCCCATTTATCCTCCACCTTTAATTTTATCATCAGAATTAATAAAGATCTCATTCATTTGGTTTTTGTCTTCTCCACTAGAAACTAGACACCATAGAGATCATGTATATAATATTAACTATATCCCCACTTACTACTCTAATAAATATCTTTTAAATAAAACTTGAAAAACTAAAGAAAAGTAGTTTTACAACTTTCCAGAAAATAAGTTTTGTCATAATCATTACTCTGTTGTATGGTATCTTCAGCTGCCTTATATGCAAGTGAAGGTAGAAAATGAATAATAAAGACCAAATAAGAATTGATGGATTTGACTGATTGTATTGACAAAGAATACTGAATGTGCTATGAACTTCCAGAAGAATGAACAAATCTGTCTTGGAAGAAGTATAGCCAGAATTGCTTATGTACAAGGATGGGGAGATTTTGGATATATTTTCTGGAAAAAGACATAATGTTTAGTGAAGTAGAGTGTTACTAAAAATGAGGAAGGCCATCAACAAAACAGTGGCTGCAACAATGAGTTCAACAATAAAATTGATTGTAAGAATGAAGCAGAACCAGACAGCATTTCATACTTTTGTACACAGAGTGGCTGTCATTCAGAACTGACTCTGTATGCACACCCATGTTTATTGTGGCTTTGTTCACAATAGCAAGGAGTTGGAAACAACGTAGGTGCCCATCAATAAATGAATGGGTAGAGAAGCTGTGCTGTATTCATGCAATGGAATACTATGCTGTATTGAAAAGCAAGGAACTCATGCAATATTATTCAATATGGGTGACCCTGGAGGACATTATGCTGAGTGAAGTATCTCAGTCACAAAAGGACAAATGCTGCATGGTGTCACTGTTGTAAAACAGGACTGACCTCAGGATTGGGAGGAGACTGAGAAAGATGGGCTCAATAATATATACTGCATTGAAACAGATGAGGGAGAAAACTGTTTAAAAGGAATATGTGATCAGGTATTTTTGTCATGACAGTAGTCCAGAGTGAAGGCTGCATAGTGGAGTGGACCTGGGGGGGAGGGATTGTAAAAACAATGAAAGAATTTTTCTTGTACTTATCCAAGAGAGGAGTGTATTGGGGCGGGGAGGGTTGGGAGGGGAGAAAAAGTACAACAATGAATGAATTGAAATCCAAAGTCTCTGTAAATTTTCATTGAAATTAATAATAAAAATTAAAAAAAATAACTGACCCTGTGACATCTAAGCCACTTTTCAAATTCACATATAGAATGAATTTAAAATATAAAAATAGCAAGAAAATATCTGTTAAAAGTTAATACAGAACAAAACTCGTAATTGTCTTTAGAATAATTTCCTCCTTTCTATCATTTTGGTGAAATTACAGTTCTAAACTGACTTTCCCACTTCCCCCCCCACCCCCCGCATCAAATGGACAGTACAACCCACTGTTTCATAATGTTTTTTAGGTAATATTATAGAGCGGTTTGTTATAGTTTTCCCCCAGTCACAAATAAACAAAAATACCTTAATGATATACTATGGTAAAACAGAACACCAAATGGAGATTTGTAGAATTTTAGAATGTAGTGGGATCTGTTTACTTACATAGAAAGGACAACAACCAAGCAATTTAATGTTTGTCTTCATAAGGATAAGGTTGCTAAAAGTCTTAGTTCACTCAATGACACTTGACAAAAACAAAGATAAAGACCTCATTAATTTTTTCTTAGGGTTTGGTTTTTTTTAAAATTAATATTAAAACTTCATACACACTGTGTATGTTTCACAGTATTCTTCATGCATATTATGAATTTCAATGCATTATGTTTTACAAAATTAATCAACACTGGACCTTGTCCATCACGACCCTGACTTTTCACCTGAATCCTTCCCATCTTCACCCCCTCCCTCCAACCCACCTGTACAACCCTGTTCGATGGCACTTAACAACAACAACAGCATTTGAAGGACCTCATTTTTGTGAAAGATAAGGATCAGGAGCTAAAATCATTTTAAATATATGTACTGTTGAGACACATTGTTAAAAACAGCTTTGCAATGAAAACACAGATTATTTACATAAGTACCTTGTACATTTAACTTAATTTTGCCCAAGGCTGTCCCAGCTGGATTCTGAGCCACACACATGTACGTGCCAGCATCCTCTCTGAGTGCTCTTGAGATCTGCAAGCCGCCACTTGGAAGCACTGCATGATTTTTGCCTATATCACAGTTATCAAAGCAAAGAGTGAAACATGTTTTTATTTTCTTTAGGGGAAATAAAGTCACAGTGAGTTCTGAATTCTGAAACACTGAATTTGCGGTAACGTTTTTCATAGAAAGAGCAGTATGTACCTGAAGTGATAACACTGATGCCTTCTTTCTGCCAAGTGATGAAAGGACTCGGCATCCCTGTTGCGTCACATGGGAGTAGAATGGGATTGTTTAAAATGACATCTAGTTCACCTGGCTGAGGCTGAATGGCTGGAGGCTCTAGAAAAATAGATCACCAGAAATAAGTATCACTAATCCACAACAGCAGTATCTATGCTAGCCATGAGTTTAAACATGGCCATTTTCTTAATTCCAAAAGATTAGCAATTTGATCATCAAAGAGAAAAGCACATATTGGTCACATTACATTCTTTGAACTCACTACAATAGCCAATATCTATCATAACAGACTAGAAGCAGAAGTAGATTATAGAAGTTGAAGCAGGAAATAATTACGAGGTGGCTCTGAGTGATTTATCAGTTTAAAATGTTGCTTTAGTCTATCAGCAATTGTTTTCCATGCTTTCATATCCCTAACATATTGAGTGACTCAGAGAGCCAGAGAGTACTGTGTTTCACAAATTAAAAATGACTTAAAGGTATAAAAAAAAGAAAAGAAACAAATTTTTATTGAATACATAACCTTCTTACCCTGCACACGGAGGGTCACATGTCGATGTGCAGACCCGGCTGCATTCCTAGCAATACAAGTGTACCTCCCAGCATGGTCCAGCTGGGTGGCAAATATTTCAATTGCTCCTAAAAAGAAAAACAATGATAATATGTATGTATCTTGGCTTTCTAGTTTGACAGATTGTGTTTGTCTCAAGGTTTTTGCAATTTCTACACTAAAACCTAGAAGACAACTTGCCTGGCTTACAATCACACCTGTATTTGGTGAAGATCTCAACACAACACTTAAATGTGTAAAAAAAATCAAATATTTATATAATCATTTACTTTTATATAAGCATCCATACACATTGTTTAATTCACATGCATTTTATTTTATACAATCATTTCTGTACATTATAGTTACCATTGATCTATTATGTTTTCCATGATTATGGTCTTTAGTAGTGAAGTAAGAACGCTATAATTCAGGTTGGCAACAGTATAAAATTGCTAATTAGAACAAATTCTGAAATGTGCTGGTAGGCACCTCAGTCTTCAGTTGTGCAGCATATTTTGTATAGGACAAAACATATCCATTTAAATGTATAGCACAATGATTTTTGTTGTATTTACAGTGCTGTACAGCCATCACAAAAATCTAATTTAAAAAAATTCTGTAATCCTGAACAGAAACCTCATACCTATTTATAGTCACTCCTCACTCCCAGTCCCAACCCTTGACAATTACTATTCACATTCTACATCTACATGCCTTTTCTGGACATTTTAGAAAGTACATAGTGTTTTGAATTTGCCTTCTTTTACTGTGAAGACAATTTTTTTTTTTTTTTGGCGGGAGCTTTAGTTGCTTAGTGGTAAGGAATTGTTCTGCTAACACAAAGGTATGCAGTTTGAATCCACCAGCTGCTCTGCAGGAGAGAGATTGGCAATCTTTTGCCGTGAGATTTACTGCCTCTGAAAACACACTGGAGGGTCAGCTATCATTTGGTTCTGACTTAATGGTACACAACTACAACAACTCAATGTTTTTCAGCTTCACCTGTTATTATGTATGTATCAGTACCTTGTTCTTTTTTCTTGTCAATTTGAATACCATTATAAAGATGCCATATTTTAATCATCCATTAGCCAGTTGGTTAATATCGGAATTATTTCTGTTTTTTTCTGCTATTGTGAAACAAGCTGCTCTGAGCACACTCACACATAAGACTATACAGACACATGCTTTCATTTCTTTTGGATAGATATCTAGGAAAGGAATTATTGAGCCATATGGTAACTGATTAACCTTTTGAGGAAGTAAAATCTTTTTCTTAGGTCAGTATATTGTACTTGTTGTTAGGTCCTGTCAAGTCAATTATGACTCATAGCGACCCTATGAACAGCCAATCTGAAGGTTTCCCTTTTCCTGTGCCATCCTCAATATTTCCCAAACACTACAGCCCATCGCTGATGTCACTGTGTCAGTTGATCTCATTGGGGGAAGTCTTCTTCTCCTTCTCTGACCCCTCATTATCCAAGCACATCTTTTTCCCAAGGAATCACCTAGCTACATGTACAACGTATGAAAGAGTCATCCCTGCCTCTAAAAAGCACTCTCACCCCTCCCTTTCTTGGATGTAGCTGTTTGTTCTTTTGGCAGACCATGGGATATTCAGTCCTCTTCTCCAGTACCACGACTCAAAGACATCAATTTTAATTCTGCCATCCTTATTCATTGTCAGCACCTCTATTGCAGGTGATTAAGGAGACTGGGGCCTGAATCAGGCACAACCTTAGTCTTCAAACTGACACTATTTTTCTTTAGTATTTTTGAGGAACCCCTGAGAATGGACTTGCCTACTGCAATACATCTCCTGATTTCCTAACTGTTGGTACCATGGGTATTGATTGTTGATCCATGCAAGATTAAATAATTGATAATTTCAATCTTTTCTCCATATATCATAATGTTGACTATTGGGCCTATGGTGAGGATCTTTATGATTCTTGATGTTGAGATGTAATCCATCCTAAAAGCTATAGTTCTTTATTTTCTGCAGCAAGCTTTTTATACTATCCATACTTTTGGCAAGCAAAGTTGTCGTCAGCATCATGCGGGTTGTTGACGAGTCTCCCTCTAATCCTCATGGCACACTCCTCTTCAGAGAGGTCAGCTTTGTAAATTATTTTCTCAGCATTACAGATTGAGTAAGTATGGAGAAAAGTTACAACACTGACGCACACCCTTCCTGACCTTAAACCGTGCAGTGTTCCCTTGCTCTGTTTGCACAACAGCTTCTTGGTCTAGGTATAGATTCCATAGGAGCACAATTAAGTGTTCTTCTCAATGTGAACCAAATATTTTGTACTAGAAGGTGGTCAATCCATATTTGATAATATGGATTATTTTCCGTCTATGCTAGCTTATGATATAGTCAAAATACTTTGTCTTACAACCCAAGTGACATCTTGGGTACAAATCATACATTTTTTTTCTTTGTCTTAGGATATTTTCTTAGAATAATATGTATGCACCCAATTCCCACTTATAAATATGCTTAGGTTCTAAAGACCATATTGTTATATGAGAATTGATGTTACCGGGCACAGAAGATGACCTTATCAGATCACATAATGGAGGATTACCACCATAACTGACAAACTATGTAATTGTAAAACTGACAAATTACATCATTATAGAGCTACTAAACCACTAAGAATCATGGCTAAGGCAAGGTAACAGCTGAGCTTAATGTTACTCTTGCCACCTGGCATTTGTTGCTGCTAGATATATGTAATTGTTGTTGTTGTTATGTGCTGTGGAGTTGCTTGAGACTCATAGCAACCCTATGTACAAGAGCCCTAAACTCTACTCTATCCTGTACCAACCTCACTGTCTCTGACACATCTACTCCCACTATTGCAATCACTGAATTGATCCATCTCATCGAGGGTTTTCCTCTCCTATGTTGTCCCTCCACTCTCCTAAACATGATGTCCCTCTCCAAGGACCAGTCCCTCCTTGCAACATGCCTAAAGTATGTCAGACAAAGCTTCAGAAACCTTGCCTCCAAGGAGCAATCTGGTTTCACCCTCTACAGGATGAGCCTGTTTGTTCTCGGACCAGTCCATAGTATATTCAACACTCTTCTCCAGCACCACAGCTTAAAGGAATCAATTCTCTTTCCTACTATTCATAGTCACTGTTCAGCTCTCTGATGCATAGCACACAATTGCGAAGACTATTGCCTGGATCAAGCGCATCTTAGTCTCCAGCCTGATGTCATTGCTCTTCACTACGCTGGGTAGGTCCCTGATAGCTTAGTTTCCCAATGCAATTCATCTCTTACTTCCTGGTTGCTGGTACCAAGAGTATTGATTGTTAATGTGCAAAAATGTTATATAGTAGAACTTTTATTCCAAAGGAAAATTATCAGATAATGAGATTATTATTAAGTGAAAATTAGGTGTGTTGTCTTAAAGTTCCATGATATTCATTGCTATTTTCATTTATTTCTAATGTACCTCTCAGTTATAAGATAAATTCTGAGAAACACCTACATGACTCAGCCATATGTTTAAGTGAATTATTTCTTTGTCCTCAACACTAAAGCTTTACATTTTATAAATGATGGTTGCTATCATCCACAAAAATTATCAACTATAACACTTATTACCTATTTTTACCTGCTAAATTAGATAACCTTGAAACAAATGTTTGCCTTACTTAGTTTTAAATTCCCACAAACAGTACCATAATTAGCTTCTTTTAGGAACTAACAACATGTTTTGTGAATAAGAGGACATTCTATTTGATAATACATTGAATCAGCAGTAACAAAATGGCATTTTCCTTTTAAAACTATAAAGAGGTCCACTGTAGCAGATTTTCCCATAGACTACTACTTCTATGGACACTGATGGATGATACAATGAAATCATTGATAATGTCAATTTTTTCTTTATTTATTTGATATTTCTTATTGAGCTAGTTGTAACTCCCCCCACCCCCCGCTTGCCATGCTTAGTTGCAAATTATACTGAAGATTATGGTCTTTGACCTTTATCAGAAAGTGCTTCAAGTCATTGTAATTTTCAACAGGCAAGGATGTGTTATCTGTATATTACATCTTGTTAAAAAGTTTTCTTAAAAATCCATTGTCATACTGTTTTTTCATGAAGTCCAGTTTCATAGATTAGAGAAAAAGTAAGATGTAAGATATTGCTCTACATGTTTCCATATCTGGGTTACACAGTAGCCTCTTATTCTATTTCTTGATCCATGTAAAGGTTCCACATTGATACATTAAGTGTTCTTGAATTATCATTGTATGTAATGATGTCTGTTTTAAGATATTGTTGTTGTTGATTGCTGTCGAGTCGAGAACAACTCATAGCGACCCTATGAACAAAAAGCCTGAAGCCTTTCTATAACTATCAACATTTATCAAAGTTCATAGAGTTTCCAGAGGTATATTGTTTAAGAAGTGTATGCCACTCCTGTTTTAAGATACTATTAAATATTTTCCAAGATCAATCTTCAATAAAATTTTATTTGTAGGTTTTTTTTTTAATTTTCCTTTTCCAGAATCCCCTTCCCAAATTCACTACATTTTTTTCAGATGTCCAAGTTATAGAATTGTAATCACTTAATAGCAGTGGATTTAGTTTGGGTTTAAGCCCAGGACTATTAATATATTTTATACCAGTGCAAACAAACAAACAACCACTTGGAAAATGGAAAGGCCACTTAGGTAGAATTTAGATATTTAAGCAATGTATATTTAATCACTGAGCTTTGTCTTACCTGAGGACAGAATTCTATAGCCATCTCCCCTGGGAAGCAGTCTCATACCATTTTTGGTCCAGTGGATGGAAGGAAAAGGAACGCCTGAAGCAGTGCATGTAATTACTGTAGCGGTCTGTTTGGTTACCAGGAAGTCTGTAAGTTCATCAGCTATGGAAGGTGGAACTAAAACAATAACAAAAAATAAGAAAGAAAATTTATCCATGCTCAGCCCAAACATATTTAAAAAGTCCTGCCATAAAACTTCTCTTTGCCCTGAATGTAAATGTAAAATATCATTGACTATCAAATTTCTTCTAACTCATGGTAATCCAGAGTTTTCAATTGCTATTTTCTTTGTAAGTAGATCATCATATTTTTCTTCCAGTCGCAGAGTGGATTCAAACTTCCAACCTTTTGATTATTAGTTGATCATTTGCACCACCCAGGGACTCCATATAAATGCTAACGGTAAGTGGAAAATGGAGTTCTCTTGAGAAGTTCTGGAATGCTGGAGGGATATCATTATCACACATTTTCATTTACATGCTGAGCCAGTTCTACCTTGTACAGTGAGATCCACGGCTCTCTTATCTTCTCCGGCATCATTTGCCACAGTGCACTCATAGGTTGCTGTGTCATCCACAGAAGGGGAAAGAATTACCAGTGAACCTGAAGACAGAAGCCTAGAAGAGAGATTTCAAAGTAATGAGGAACCAGAGATCAGATTTCACTAATTAAGTTGCTTCAACCTGTAAGCTTCAAAATATGCATCACTTCTCTGCTATGAGGAGAGTTTAAGTTTATATAGGAATGGATTACTAGACCCTCAACCTTGGCATGTAAGGAAGCAGACGGGTGGAAGTGTTATTTGGAGGTGTATGACACTCATGACAGCAACTTCTATACCCTAAGCATTGAGTACATTTCTAGTATCATATTAAACACTACATAAATTATTTCTAAGTTTCACAATTATTCCGTAGGTTGATATCATTATGATTCCATTGAAGAAGATTAAAATTCAGGCTGGTTAACTAATTTGCCAATTATTTACATCTAGTGAACAGTGCTATTTGTATTTAAGAGTCTGTCTAGTCTTTTCTAGTACTTCCTATGTTGGCTTACATTAACCTTGAATGTTCATACATCAGTAAGTGATGTATGGAGCTCATACATCAGCCAAACTTTTCTTTAGTCTTTAGCCAGGTGCTGTCAAGTTGGACCCTCCAGTAAGTTTTTGGAGTCTGTAAATCACACAGAAGGAGACTGTTTCTCTTTTCCCCATGGAGCTGCTGCTGGATTCCAACCATGAGAGAGGTACCATCTTTGAGTTAATTTATAGAATAGGCCACCAGTGACCAATATGGAACATTCCAAATGTTTAGAATATCTCGTAAATGCACACGGAGGATTTGGAGTACCTAAATAGAAATAACAATTTTCTTCTTCTAAATTAATAGAAATGTCTTTCATTCAATGGAAATGTATTTTATACACACTTTTTAAACTCAAGAGCATTATACATTTTTCACATAGCACATTCCTTCAAGTCAATGATCTTGTAATTCAAAAGATGAAGAGAAGTGACAGAATTTCAGGTGAAACATTACGAGGTTGCTGATATATGAGCATAGCGCTTTCTCAAATTAGATCTATGAGAGCATTTGTTTTCAGTACTATGACAATGTCTATGTTGGGAAGGATCTTTGTAAAAAGACGTGGTAATGATGGGCAAGGTCCAACAGTGATTAATTTTATAAAATATATGAACTTTGTAAGCAAATCAATTTTAAAAAAAGAAAAAAGTTACAAATATTATGTTCACCTATATTATCAGTACTCTGTTGGCCTAGTGGATAGAAAATTATGCTACCAAGCCAAAGGTGGATGATTATAATCTGTGGCCCTCAGACCTGGTTTTAATTGTTTTTGGTCAAACATTCTTCTAAGTGGTATGGCTCTGGTCTGTCCATTTGCTGTACAGAGGTAACTCATGGTTGCTGTGATACTTGCTATAGTCATTGTGTCAATTCGCAAAAAAAGACTAAAAAGATTATTATCTGAGCATGTTAATCATTTTTCTATCCACACAAAAGATTTATAGAGGCTATAAGCTGAGTGGGAAGAGACACCCCATCTTTCTCTCTCCAGCAGCTGGTGGATTGAAACTGCTCACCTTTTGGTTAGCAGTACAGCTTCCTATTCACTAGGCCACCAGCACTGCAGCATAAAAAAAGGAGCCTTACAAACTCTCTTACTGTTGCTGTTGTTATATGCCGTCAAGTCGACCACAACTCAAAGAGCCCCTATGTATAATAGTCCTAAACCCTGCTCTATCCCTTGCCAATCTTATCGTCTCTGACAAACCTACCCCCATTACCCCAGTGACTGAATCAATCCATCTCATCTTCTACACTGTCCCTCCACCCTCCCAAGCATGACCTCCCTCTCCAAGGACTGGTCCCTCCTTGCAACATGTCCAAATTATGTCTAACAAAGCTTCAGAATCCTTGCCTCTAAGGAGTTGCTTGGCTTCACACTTTCCAGGACAAAATTGTTTGTTCTTCTAGCAATCAATTCTCCTATCATTCCTAGTCATTGTCCAGCTTTCTGATGCATAGCAAGTAATTGCAAAGACTGTGGCCTGTATCTGGTGCACCTTAGTCTCCAGACTGACATTGTTGCTCTTCAGTACCTTGGAGAAGTCTCTGCAGCATATTTTCCCAATGCAATTTGTCTTTTAATTTCCTAGCTGCTGGTATCAAGAGAGTTGATTGCAGAGCAAAGCAAACTGAAGCTATCAATAATCTTAATCACTTTATCATCAATTACGATGCTGCCAATCAGCCCAGTGGTGAGAATCTTTGTTTTCTTGATGCTGAGCTTCAATCCATATAGGATGCTGCAGTCCTTGACCTTCTGTAGCAAGTGCTTTAGGTTCTCCTCAGTTTCAGCAAGCAGGGTTGTACCATCTGCACTTCTCATAGATCCCAGCCTCCTGGATAATCTGTTCTGTATATAGATTGAAAAGATATAGAGCTAGGACACATCCTTGACACACACCCTTCCCAATTTTGAACCATGCAGTGTTTCCTTGCTCTGTTCTGATGACTGCATCCTGGTCCAAGTATAGGTTTCACATTAGAATGATCAAGTGTTCTGGGATTCCCATTCTTCTCAGAGTCAGCCACAGTTTGTTGTGATCCATAACAATGCCTTTGCATAGTCAATGAAACACAGATACACATTCCTCTGGTACTCTCTGCTTTCAGCCAAGATCCATCTGACATTAGCTATAATATCCCTGGTGCCATGGCCTCTTCTAAATACAGCCTGCACTTCAGGCAGTTCTCTGTTGTTGTGCTGTTCCAGTCATTTTTGGATAATTTTCAGCAGAATCTTGCTTGCATGTTATCAATGATAATGTTTGATAATTTCCACACTCTGTTGTATCACCTTTTCTTTGGAATGGGAACAAATATAGATCTCTTCCAGTCAGTTGGCCAGATGGTTTTCCTCCAGATTTCTTGGCATAACTTGGTGAGCACATCTGGGGTAGTGTCTGTTTGCTGAAATATGTTAATTGGTTTGCCATCAATTCCTGGGGACTTGTTTTTTGCCAATTCTTTCAGAGCAGCTTGAATTTCCTCCTTCATCACCACAGGTGTGGGAAAAATTATGCTGCCACTGCAAAGGTATGTGATTCAAATCCACCAACTGCTGCTTCTCAGGAGAAAGATGAACAATCATCTCCCATGAAATTCACGGCCTCTGAAAATCTGTTGGAAGATCAGCTGTGGATCGGTTCTGACTCAATAATATTCAACAACAACACAAGATCATTATGTCTCAATCAGTAGGGAAACAACAGGAAACCACTAGTTACTCAAAATGCAGTTTTACAAACATTATTATCATATGATGAAATATGGTGGTAAATTAGGAAGAATGCAGAACACTGGAAAAATCATATTTATCCTGCTCACAAATGCTGCCCATACCTAAACTGTTTATCGAAATACAAAAAGTGATTTTTATTTACAACTAGAGCTTGTATTTATATTTATAGAATAATTTCTCATACCAAATGGGTTTTTAAGGTTCTTCAACATTACAAAACTTATAAAAACATCAGGATAGAAAGATTACGGCATGTTGTACTTAAAATTAAGTCATAAAAATATTTTAGGCTAAATATTGGATTCAACGTTAAGGGGAAGGAAGCATACTCTTTTTTTGTCGTTCCTGTTAATTATCAATTGTTAAGATGTTGATTCCTAGAAAATTTTTTTCCCCCTAAAGAACAAGGTAGGATTTTAAAAGAAAACTTTTATTTTTTTTACCTGTATGAGTTCTGATTCTGATCCACACTAAGGAGATGCCCATTTTTCTTCCAGGTTATTGATGGTTTTGGTATTCCAGTAGCCTCACAAGCCAGAGTAGTTTGAACATTTACTGTTACAGTTATGTTGGTTGGGCCCTGAGCAATGGATGGAGGAACTAAAACCATGTTATAAAATAAGAAGAAAATACATTCAGTAAATAATGTTCCATCTCAAGTATTTATAGTAAACTAAAACAAATCATTTTTCACTTGCTCCAGAGATACAAATACAATTGCTGCTGTTAGGTGTGTCAAGTTGAGTATGACTCACAGTGACCTTGTGAACAACAGATCTAACCCTGTACCATCTTGAGCCATCCTTACAATCTCTGACACACTCAAGCCCATTGTTGAAGTCAGTTTGTCTGTCAACCTGGTTGAGGGCCTTCCCTTCTTTAGCCACCCCTCTACCATTTCAAGTATCATGTCCCTCTCCAATGAAGAGCCTCTCCTAGCAACATGCCCAGTATATCTGAGGTGAAGTTCAATCATCTTTGCTTCCAAGGAGCACTCTACTTGCATCTTTTCAAGACCTATCTGTTATTTTGGTAGTCTATGGGATATTCAGTACTCTTCTGCAATACCACAGTTCAAAGGCATCAGTTCTTCTGTCATCCTTTTTCACTCAGCTCTCAGCAGCATAACAAGTGATTGAAAAGACCATGATCTGAAAAAGGTATATCTTAGTCCTCAAACTAACATCATTACTCTTCAATAATTTGGAGAGGTCCCTGACAGTAGACTTTGCCAGTGCAATACACCTCCTGATCTCTTGACACCAAGCATATTGACTGTGGATACAATAAGACTGTAATTTTAATAGAGCTCTGATAGTGCTAACCATGCTGAGAAGAAAAATATTTGCCCTTATGCTTACAAAAGTAACACAATTAATTTTAATAACTCTGAGTATTGCATTTAGGGTATTTGATCCACAGGTTGGATGTTGTTTGTAAATGTATATTTACCCTGGACCTGTAAATCTATTCTTCTGCGGTCTGTTCCAGCAGCATTGGTAGCCATGCACAAATACCGGCCAGCATCAGTGATATGTGCTGATTGAATAAGAAGAAATCCATTTTCCAAGATTGTGTATCTACAAGAAAGATCAGAAGGAATGTTCCCATAAGCAGTTTTGTCTGACTCTTCCTTTACATTACAGGTTTTGTAATTTAGTCAAATCCACACTTAGTTATTTTCCTGTTTCAATTGACATATATTTATACAAACCTTGTTAGGAAAAAAATCATATAATTCAAAAGTACAGAAAAAATGAGCTTGTGATACTGAATGGACTATAGTCATTGTGTTTCAGGTATGAGCTTTAGGAATTTTACTTGAAATGCTCCATTTTGTTTCCCACATTTAGATGAAGACTAGGTACTGGTAGATGTACTGAACAACCAAATCAGAACCCTGGAGTCAAATCCAATGCATGAAAATTCCTCCACTGAGTTGCCAAGGCTGTAAATTTTAATGGGAGGAGATTGCCTATCTGCCTCCTTCAGAGCAGCTGGTGGATTTGAACTGACAGCCTTCCTGTTTGCAATGCAACACATTATGCACTATGCCATCAGGGCTTTAAAAATTTTTTTAAATTAATTAATTAATTAATTT